AAGATTAGTCTAGTAATTTGTTTAGAGATCTAAAAAAAAAAAAAAAAAAAAAAAAAAAAAAAAAAAAAAAAAAAAAAAAAAAAAAAAAAAAAAAAAAAAAAAAAAAAAAAAACCTGCCAAATAAGTCAAGGCTAATGACGGGGTTAATAATTCATTGAAAACCCCTAAGTTCAGTATATGCTCTACCACTCAGGACTTAGTCTCATTTTCTACTCCAAAATATCAGAGTTTTCACTGGTATTTTTTTAATCCTGGAAACTATATAATATAAGAAAATCAGCTTATCATGAGCAGGTCATCAGCTCTGGAAATATCTGCCCATGAGAAAAAAAATGTGATTGGAATTCTGTCACCAAGGAAATGGTTTAAAAATCTGTTTATTTCATTGCCAAACAAAAAGCTTCAACTAGTTATCTTTATTTTGCAATGACTTTAATTCTTTTACCCATTCATTTATTACAGGGCTTCTATACACTGATCATTTAGGAAAAAAAAAAAAGCACCTGAATGATTATGCAAACCTTAAATATAACTATATGTTTATGTGTGTTCATATGCTTTTTTAAAGAGCACATTTGTGACAGGAAGTAAAGAATGGCATAGTCGGGGGAGAATTAAAGAGACACGATGTAATTATCCGAACTGGAATTAAGCCAATTAATAACCCTTGTGCTAACACTACCCTCAAAGTGCTGAAAATGCCGTCAGATATTTAAATGCCCTGGGTGATCATGGTCAGCAATCTTCCCTGCATCCATTTTCAACACTATGCAGGGACATGGCTCACCCTGCTTTCTGACAAAGGACTACACCTGAAGTGAGCTACAGAAGTACAGATTCTATCATTCAAAAACAAGATTCTCTCAAGTGATTGTGCACAGATTTTTACTTATCTCCAATGAAATAAAACTTCTAGTGTCTTTTTCATTTTCTCATTAATTTAATACATATTGACTGAATACCTACTGTGTGCCAGTATGGTACAATGCTGACAATGCAGGCTTTAAAGTCAGATTGCCTGGATTTAATTCCCAGCTCCTCACTTACTAGGTGCATAATCTTGAGCAAGTTATATAATCTTTCTATACCTCAGTTTTCTTTTCTATGAAATAGGGATATTGGTAGTACCTCATTCATAGGGTTCTTGTGATGCTAAAGTATGATTTTAAAATATAAAGCGCTTAGCAGAGTGCTTAGGACAAACCAATTACTCAGTAATATGTTTGTCATCATTATTATTAAAAGCCAGGAAATATAGTAAAATCTGGGAACAAAGAAATAATACAACCTCAAATGACCTAACATCCTTAAAGTTTAGATTTTAGGAATTTAGTTCTAAACTTTATAATCTCTACTGCCAATCCTGTCTAGTAGAGGTCTGTATATTACATCCTTGCTTTACTATATGTTTTCATGCCTTGAGCCTGCATGCTTTGAATATAACACATTCAGCACAACCATAATATACAGTTTTGTTTACACCCTCAAGATATGCCTTCCTCCATAATAACTACTGTGTAATGACTAGCTGTGTACTTTATATATGTTTGCTCATGTCATCCTTAAGACAACCCTATGGGACCAATATCATCACCTTTTACAGAAAGGAAAACTGAGGCTCTCAGAGTGGCTATGACTTTGGCAGTGTTATATATAAATATGTGTTTGCTCCAAAGTTCTTGTTCTTTTTACTCAGTTCACCAACACACATTTACTAAGCATTCTACTGCTTTCTTCTGGGCTCTTGTCTGTCAGGTACTTTGGGGCTTGCCAAAGGATCTGCCATTGTCAAAATCACTGATTTCTTCCCCCTTTCCAAATTGATTGACTGTAGATCATGTGTTTTAGGCATGGCATAGCAGCCATTGTTAAAGAGGTTGGAGTGCAAATAAACTAAATTACTCTGGCTATGACTTCTGTCAGATTATTTGTCTTTGAGTGGGCTCCCAGGTGCCTGACTTTTCTTTCGGTTTTCTTCTTTCTCCCTAAGTAGCAACGTTGTTGCTGAAGCATGACTGAAAGATAGTTTTCGCTTTCATACACACTCTGTTTCTTGTTTTAGGGCAAGAAACTTAATCTCTCCGGTAATATCTGATGGCACTCTTCTCTTCATAAGCACCTCTCACCATTTAAAAAATAGACCCTCAACTACCCATTGTCAAAAGGGAATCCTTACTGAATATGATCATAGTATCCCCAAAAAGACACTATCACATTTGTGGACAGAAAATATAGTTCCCCCTTTCTATTTTAGTAGCTCATTTTCAATTGAAATATATTGGAAAAGTTGCATATGCCTAATCATTCGGGTAGAAAATCTTATCAGTGCCTTAAAACTACATTGTATGCTGAAAGACTCAATCTCTTTCACCCACAATGTGCCTATATTTTAGAAATGAGGTGTATGAGAAAAACCACATCTTCTCACATGGTGATATATAGCAGATGATGTTCATAGAGCGAATTGTAAACTCAGGGTGAGGTCTTTGTAGATCAATCCACTAGCCTTCATTAGCTTGAAAATGTGACACAAGTTATATCTTGCTGAGATGAAGTCTCTACAATGTTATATTTTTCTGATATTCCCCAAGAATGTATTAAAGACTTAAATCCCTTATTCCTAGCATTCAAAATGGACTCTCTCTCTCTCTCACTCTCTCTCACTCTCTCTCTCTCTATATATATGCATGTATATACATACACACACACATATATATAAAATAGAAATATATTTATATATGTAATTATATTTCCATTTGGCTGTTTAAACATTTTGGAAAATTGTAGGTTTGTGCACTAACTGTATAGGTGGAGGAACCTTCTTATTTGGGAGGCAAGGGTGATTTTCATACCTGTTGGGCCAGATCTTCAAAGAATATTCTAGGTTAGCCGGTGCGATGGAAAGAGCACTGGCCTGGTGGGCTGCCAGAATCCTGGTTTCTAGTGTGGACTCTGGGCCTCAGTTTCCTCATCTGCTAAATTGGGAGTTGGAGAGATTGATCTCTGGGGCTTATTCTAGCTCTGTATTCTATGGGTCTGCAAATCGCCTTCAGTGTCTGCCGTAGTCTGCCTTGCCAGCTCTGTTTGTCACAAAGATTAATCCATTTTAACTGTACCTTGGAGTGCACCCGGGAGAGAAGGGTGGATGGATTGTTTTGCACCTTATATTGCATCAGAACTTTTGCCTTTTTAGATGAGATCGTGCCGTGCCTAAAATCTGTCTGCCTATCTGCCCACTGACTTTGTCTGTGCTGATCTCTTGCCACAGTGCCTCTTCTTCCAGCATCCATCTCCCTCCAGGATCTAGATTCGGCATCCGACTGTACCTGTCTTGTTCTCTGCAGCATCTGTCTGCTACACTCCTAGACCATCGTTAATAAACTTTCACACATTACACGAAAACCCCTAATATGTTGACACCTGCACATAAATATCTATGGTTCATAAAACTAGGGGAGAAAACTCCATTTTTTAAAGACCTCTGTCTAATGCCATTTGTATTTGCACTTTTTGTTTAGTTGTAAGTTTTAATAGTTCCCCCTTTGAGGATTTGTCAGTACGAGCAGTATTGCTTATCAGAACACACCAACAGTCTTTTTGTAATATTCGCTTTTCCCCTTTGGTTCAGCCGAGCCTGCTGACAGATCATTCAAATTCAATTGTTTTATGTCTAAGCCGAACAGCTAATTAAAGTAGGGATGATTAACCTGACTGGCAGTGCCGCTCTCCCTCTCGCGCTCTCTCTCCCTCTCCTTTTCTCTCTCTCTCCCTCCTGTTCCAATCAGTCTTTTTCTCACACACTCTCTCTCTCCGTCTCTCCTCTCTCTCCCTCTCTCTCTCTCTCTCTCCTTCTCTCTCTCTCTCTTTCCCCTCTCTCTTCCTCTCTCTCAGTCTCTCCCTCCCTCGGTTGGTCTCTCTCTCTCTCTCTCTCTCTCTCTCTCTGTCTCTTGCTCTACTGTTTTTTTTTTTCCCTCTCTCTCTCTCCTAAACGTGGTCTGCTTGCTGATGGCAGAATGGCACTCGGAGATTTGTGCATTGTGTCTGGTTTCCTACGGGCAGGCTGACCCAGTGCCTCCAGGGACTTATCAATAGACCACTCAGAAGAGACACAGACAGGAGAGAGGAGGAGGGGTGGGGGGAGAGAGAGAGAATCAATATCAAGAATAGAAGGAGCTCCGAAGCCATTTTTTTTTTAAAGAAGTATCGGGACTTGGGAGAGGGTGACAAAGAAGGTTTTTCAAAGAGGCAGTGGAGGAGGTTCTAATAAATTTGGAAGGAAACAGTTCCCTGTCTTGGGAAAAGGAGAACTCCTGACTGATTAGCATTCACACCAGGTATGAGATGTTCGCTACCCCTTATCACTGTGTCGCAACCGAGATGGAAAAGCCTTTTTTTTTTAGGAGACCGAGGGAGCATGTATTTTGCTGTGTTTGTTGTTGGGGGGTAAGAGGGGCGGCGTGAGAAGCTGTGGGCATTTGTGTATGAGAACAGAAAGAATGGAAGCAGTACAACGGGGGGTGGGAAAGAGTATGGAGTATGTTACTGTCTTCCCTGTCTTTGTGCACCCCTGGGGGGTTACCCAAGTTCATTTCTAGCAGGTGGATTTAGACGGGAGTTACTTAACGCTTGACCGCCAGTTTTGAAAAAAAAAAAAAAAGAAAAAGAAAAAAACGCTGCTTCCTATGTCTATTAAAGGAAGCTCCAATTTCTCTCTCTCTCTTTCTCTCTCTGTCTCTCTCTCTCTCTCTCTCCCCCTTCTCTTTTCCTCTCTCTTCCTCTCTCTCTTCCTCTCTCTCTGCCCCCCCATCCCTCTTCCCCTCTCTCCCTCTCCCTCTCTCTTCTTTTTTTCCTCTTCTAACCAGACAGCGGGAGGGTTTCTGGCTTCCAGCCAGCCCAAAAGCCTCTAAGTGTTTTGCACTTGTTTCAGGGAGTAGCTGCCCGGGGATTTTTCAGCATTTTCACTAGAGAACAAAGAGTTCTTTACAAAGGGTTGGGGGGGGGGGAGGAGTGAGCTTAATGTCTGATATATGTTTTTCTATTTTTATTAGTTTTTTGCCTAAAAAGAAAGAGACAGGAACAGAACATTCACTCCATAAAGACACAAAGACATTCAAAAGAAATCCAGTTATCTTTTCTCCCCATCATCCCTATATATATATGTACATGAAAAAATTAAAAAGAAAAAGACTAATTAAGTTGCATATGTTGCTCTTTTCTCCTCTTTTAATCTTTCCAAATCCAACTGTTCTTATGCTCACTTTATGCTATTTTTTTTTCTACTCACAATAAAAGTTGTTCAGGATGCATCTTCTCTTATCATCTCTTTACCCTTTCTGGGTCGCCAAAATCTTGTGGAAGAAAGAACAAAAGTCCATCAAATAATCAATTTGGTGACTAGATCGTCTACTTTTGCCACTTGGGTAAAAAGTTAATTATGGAATTTGGTTTCCCAAAATACCAGTGGGGTACATCAGTTCATTCGATCTCACAAGTTTTTGCATCCATCTGTTTAAAAGGTACCACTTGTGTCACTTGTCAGTTATTAAGAAAAGGTAGTAAGGGAGCAGATATTTGTATTTTATTTTTGTTTCTAATTATGTAAATGACAAAACCCCCAGAGAGATTACTTGCCCCAACTATGATACACTAGTTCAAGCAAATATAGTCTAGATGGAGATTTTGTCTACGATTCTGATTGCCACGTAGCTTTGTGTTCTCCATTTGAATTTTTGCCTGTGCGTGTATATTTTTACCATGAATTTGTGTTGTAGCAAACATTCCAGAATGCTTATCATTTTCAAATTAATGCTCCAACAAAAGAAAAAAATCAGATGTGAGCTGTATATGCAAAATGTAGTAAACAATTTTATCTTTTATATATGCCGTACATTTATATCTTTATGCTAATATCCTGGGATGATAAACCTAAGATAATGTTTTCCTTCTAAAAGTTCTCCTCTTAATGCATTTATATGTTGATTGTCACTTAGAAATCTTTTTAAGGTACATAATAGACACAAAACTAAACAAGGGGAGCAATTCTCAAGCTCTACAAAAATCCTTAAATATATATTATGTATAGTTCCTAACTACACATAACTGTTTTGCTAAGTGGAAAACAGCTACAACAGTTGTTTCAAGGATCAGAAACTCTTTTCTTTTTTTCTTTTCTATTAACTGAAAATAAAACCTATTCATATCCCTGAGGAGGGAAAATGTAGGGGAAAATATAGATATATACATTTTCCATAATTATAGAATGCATTTATGTAACTGCTTCTTAAGGCTGTAATAAGTATCAGGGCAGAGTGTGATGCTTCATCAAAAAACCCTCCTGGCTGGTAGGTGTGAGTGCCTTATGTTTGAAGTAACTTGATAACGAGTCTTTTCGGGAAACCTTACTATGTATGTGTTGCTTCAGTAATGATCCTCAGAGAAAAAACAAGTACTAGGTGGCCAGTGTTAGCACTTGAACTCGCTGAAAGATATTAGAACTAGGGGAACTTTTGGCAAATCCAGAATTTTCCAGGGTAACTCACTTCTTACAGTTACATGTTTTCTTTAGGAAAATTCTTGAATTGCTTTCAGACTTTTCTGTATTTTTGTAGAATTTTTTAATGCTTCTAATAGTGCTTAAGGAGAAAAATACTTTTAAAAAGAATGTCATCCAAATAAGAGAAACCCGGTCTTTAAAAAGTTTTATATTGAAGGCAAGAGTTGTTTTTTGTTTTTTTCCTTTTTGCTTGTGTTTTATTTTTCCCCCTGGATTCTTTTGTTGCTATGGGCTGTTGTCCCTGCATTTTTTATTTTTCATTTGGTCCCCCTCCTTTTTTTCTTTTTTCTTTTTGGTCTGTTTTTGATGTGGCCAAGGGGGTCTTTGAAAAGGGCAGAGGGACTAGGATAAGAGGCTGTTACTGAAAGCTGCACTAGCTCTTCTTGATCCCAACTCAGGCAGCTCCTATCAGCTAGTTGTGCCGCCAAGAGTACAGTGACAGGTGATAGCTGTCATTCTGGGATTCTTCGTGGATCTGACCTGAGAGTAACACATTCACAGTTGAGGAGAAAAGGGAAAAAAAATAGAGGAGGAGGAAAGAAAAGCTCTTTGAGCTGGAATACACTGGCCCTTTCTTCCTGTAGGCAATCCGCTCCAGTTCTTGGCGACGTGTCCTGCACTATCAGATATCATATGACTTTTTATTTAGATTCCTTTTCGGAGAATGGCCTGTTAGGACTCTGTTTGTTTTCTTTTATTGAATTTCCTTCTCCCCTCACCCACTAGTTTTGTGTATCTGTGTGTGTCAGAGCATGTGTGCACGCATGCATATGTGTGTGCAATTTTTATCTTTGTTTTTGTTCTGTTGATCTGATGCTTTATTTAAAGACAAAGCTTTAATTATTTCAGTATACTGGTTTAACTATTTGCCATAAAGAAACCTCATTCTAGGCTTTTTGGGGGGTCCATTTTTAAACACGTCCATTAACACATGAGGCTGGAGATCCTAAATGCTTGCTGGTCTGCCTTTGGCCCATTCCCTCACCTTAATTTAACCCTCCCCTTCATCAGCATGCACAGCAGCATAAGTTAGGAAACACCTGTGCTGAGTTCAGAGCGAAATAAAAGTAGAAGCAACTTCTTCAAATTTGCACTGCTAGTTTCACTTTAATAAACTTTTTTTTAATCGTTGATTTTTTTTTTATTATTATTTTTTGGCACCCTCTGTTGAGCTTGAAAGCATCAGAGATAGTGAACGATGTGTCTGTGGAGCTTTTGTGAGGCCAGCTGAGCACCCTTGGAAAGTAGAGCAGGAGCTGAAATTCATTCAGAGACTTAAGAATTAAGTAAGAGATTTAAATAAGATCTGTGAGATCTACGAGCTGTTCAGGGTTTGGTGATAGATGGTAAATGGAATGCTTAGGGATATTCAGGGAGGAGAAAGAAATTTCCAACCAGGAATGAAACAGGCATTTCTACTGCCATTCATACTTTAAAAACCTTATTTAATCAAATTTTTATTTTATATATCTCAAAATTTTAAAGGTGTGATTGCCTTATTCTCCATGCTTACTATGAAAAACAGATGAATTGTGTTGATATTATTACTGAGTTTCTCCTAAATTTTTGTTGTATTTCTTTTTCAGTTTTAAAGAGTTTTGATTTTAGTTAGCAAAAGAAAAATAAAACTTCTCCAAGTATGCATATGGTTGTATACACATTATTCTTATCTATACATAATATATCCTGTTTGTATCAGGATATATTTTTGTATAGTTACATGCAGGATTGCCTTGAGGGTTCAGATGACCATTATATTCTTTAAACCCATAGTTTTTAGTTTCTTGTTACCTTCTGTAAAATTATTTTTTACAGACCTTAAATTTGTAATGCTTTATCATAGCCAGAGGTGAATTTTGTTGAAACTTGGAGAAAAATTTATTCCACCCCTTTAAGCGTACCCAAAAGGGAAGAGAGAACTATTTTTCGTTCAACAAAAAATTTTAAAAGCCTTTTTTCCTTCAGCGGAAAACTCCAAAACAGCTTTGTCTCAGAATGTTAAACTTGGCATGGATAAAAAATGTGAGTTTTGCTTTGTTTGAGGAAATTTGTTTTTGAAACAACAATGTTATAAATATTTTTAAATTGCCTGCTGAGCATGCGCTGTATCTGACTTTATTCATAGTTTTAAACACACACCAAAGTGCAGTCTTCTGAATGGCCACAGGTAAGGCTGTTGATTTGTATGATCTTTCGCAGAGGCACCTTCTGTGAGTCTACTCAGTTTTCCAGAAGGGAAAAAAGCAAGAGCTGAGTTTAGACCTGGACACCTTTCTAAATATCATAGAGCAAAAGTAAATTGTCCCATTAAGGCTTGCACATTATACTTAGGGTAAGTACTGTTCAACTTTCCTTTTTTATAGGAGTTGCCTGCCTTTAACTTTTCAGCTTAATAGTAGCAGAGTAAATTAAGAAAAAAAAAATTAACTCAATGAGGTATTTCACTGAAATAGAAAATTTGCAGATTTTAAAGGGTATCTATTGTGTGTAAATTTTGGGATACGAGAATTTGCCAGTGAAATGATAGCAGCTCTGTGCTTACAGAGCAAAGATGTGCTAGTCTGAACATGCCTGTTCTCATCTGGAATCGAAAGCTAAATCTAGGTGGGCCTGTAATAAGACCAGAAAAGGAACACATGTATCTTTTGTGCAACCTTTTTTTTTTTTTTTTTTAAGCTAGGTTTCCAAAGGGAATGACAAAGAAGCAGGTTCTCCTCTTGCTTAATAAGTAGTCATGCTTAGGCTCTGGAGATATGTATTTCCAGTTGTTTTAGTTGTTTTGTTTTGTTTTGTTTTGTTGTTGTCATCACTATCGAAGATTATTTTTTTCCTGTCAGTGATTATTAACACTTTCCATTTTTCAGAATGCTTATCTCCATTAACTCTATTTGATGTTTCCTCACTTGGTTACCTTTCTCAAGTCTGCGATGACCCTCTCAGGCTTTGCAATTCTTATCGATTCTTACCAGAATATCCTTACTCATTAGCTGTTTTGTTATAGTTATGGTGGAGATAATCTTGTTTTCAGGCCTTTATAACTCTCCAAACAAATTACCTTTTGAGGTGAAATTTCTCATAGTTATCTTTGACACAGAACTGAACTTGTCTTGAAAAGGCTTGAAGAAAATCCAATTAGCCGTTTTTTGAGAACTGAATATTCTATAAATGCAAATGAATTATTTTACAAAATACTTATTGATGTGCAATGCTTTTCTAATCTGTTTTTCTTTTCGTGCCTTAAAACAGAACCTGAGAATTAAATGTGTTAAAAAGAAAGAAAGAAATCTGCCAGGTTAATGCTGATATTTTAAATACCCAATTTAAAATAATTCAAAGTTTGAATTTGTTTGCAACATATCACCTTTCAATATCAGTCAGTAATACCTAATACCTGTGTAGGTGTGTATACACACACACACACACACACACACACACACACAGGGAAACATGAATCCACTTTACACTTACATTAATTCTACTCTAACCTTCAAGAGAAAAAATTAGCCGTACTGTAAAACTTTTGTTAATTCATTATATTTTATTTTTCTGTAATAAAAAATTCACTTAACTATTGCTTTCATCCAATTATATGTACATATATATACTTAACACCTATTTATATTCAAATAATTTATCTTAATTGATAAAATATTTTTGTAAGTCTTATACACTGCTGAATTTTATGCAGCTATGTGAACGTTTAAGTTTTTTTCTGATAATTTGCTTTGTTCCGAATCTGTTAGTGTGTTAGAAGTTTTTCCTTTCCCAATCTAGAAAGAGTATGTCCATCTCTTCCTGTATATGAAATCTGTACGTCTTCAGTATTCTGAAGATACTTTTTAACCTGCAATCTCTTGGAAAGCTTTCAAACAAGTGGTAGAAGTAATCTTTACTTTGCTTCTCCTTGATCCATCCATTTGCCTTCACGGTACCATCCATCACCACCAGCAACCCTGAAAAAAACATCAATAATAAATATGATATGATAATTTTTCTGATCACAGAATCAGGAAATACCAAGGAAAATTGTGGCATATGTAGGAAAATGCTAAGAGCTTCTCCAGTAAGATCCGCTGTTTTTATACATTTTTTTTCCTCTTGAATTTTGTTTGTGACTTTTTTGGCTTGCTGAAGCACATCGCCATAATCTTACGAAGCCACAGCAAATTCCCAATGCCACAACAATACTGTGCAGCCAAGGAGAGGCCAGAAGAGCTGATCCTGGGTGGCTTCAGGCTTCCTAGCAATGGTGCAAGGCAGGAGGAGTAAGTAGGCTACTCTTCTTTTCACTTCTTACCTAGGCTGCCCAACCTGCCAGGCAGAGATTTTCTTTCTGTAGCTTTCTCTTCAACTGTCTGAGGCATTTCCTTAAACAATCAATGACTTTCTACTTCTAAGAGATGGTTCGTATAGCAAAGCATCCATTTTTATTTTATATTGCAACATGGAAAACTTTGAAAATTTGAAAGGGGCTCAGGGTATCTGAGAAATATCAAAAATGGCATTAGGCTCAAAGCTGTTTCTTGTGGTTGCTCAGGTCTGTAACTTTTCTGTTCTCTCCACAATCTCTAAGTGGTTGAAAGTAGTGAATGGGATAACTATAGGGTACACACTATGATCTAACTGATTCAGTAGATGGAGCTCTTCTCCTTAAGTCTGTATTTAAATTAACGTCCCACTCTAGTTTGTGGGGCTCTCTCTTTTAAGGTGTATCATGCTACACACATAAAATTGAGCCCTGCATAGCCAGAGAAGAGATTTCCTGGCAGTTTTCGAAATAGCATTCGTTGTGAAATGCAAAACAGTGCAGGGGAGCACTAGGGTGGAGTGGAAAGGGAAATGGAGTTTACCTATCTAAATTTTTCCCTGTGTTTGTTGATATTCTTAAGTGTGAAGTTAAATCCTGGAAGTTATTGTAGAATACACTCATTCATTAGCTGTTTTGCAAATGTAGAAAAATATATTGCACATGCAGGATTTTGGCGTTATTCATTGCAAATCTTCCAAGCTATCTGAACTGTGCAGATCTCCTTTCATTTGACTCTGCAAAAGAATCTTAATACTGTAATGCAGTTTTTTCATCTAATTAGCCTAGAGAACCTGAATAAAATGTTACAAGTTCTGAATTGTGAAAGCACAGTGTAGGGGAAAGCAGGTGTGTTAGTAAGGGGCCTTTGTGGAAGCCAAATATTTTCAGCAATAACTGAAAATAGATTTCCAATATCTATTTTAATGAGGGAAAATATTCTTGTTTATTTCTTTTTAAATTAATTGAAATGAATAATTGCCACAAAATTTTTGTCAGTGTTACACTGTTTTCAGTACGAATAGAGTAAGTTTGATCATGTCTCTTCCTGGTACCAAGTGGAGAAATATATGTACACTGTATTTAATAAATTATCTTCCTTAGTGGAATGTCTTCTCACAGATTGGAGATATTACAGAATATCTCTTGTTAAATCTTGATAAGATCATTTGGCCAAAGTAGAACTGGTCTTGGCTTTAGTACCAAAAGAAATAGCGTTTTTAAAAGACTTGGATTTCCTTTGCATACCACGTGTCTGAGTTTGATACGGTCCAGGAAAATAGAGAGGATGAGACGAAATTATTCCTAAGCAGCCGCCGTAGGCCAAACACTGAAACAGTGCCAACCTGGACCAATCAGGCCGGCTTCTCAGAAGATACATGCTTTTGTCAAACACTTACATGAAGAAAGAGAGAGAGGAAGTTCGTGAAACTGTGTTCATGTGAATATTCTTCACTAATTTCAATAAAGTCCATGGTAATAAATTCAGTGATTTTTATTCTTTTGTAAAGCAGAATATCTGAGTTTTCCTGGGCAGTTAAGGATCTCTAAATGTGGTACTATGACATCTTTTGAACAAAACTATCCTTTCGAATTTAAGCAAGTGAAAAACTTCTCACAGAGAGCAAAGAGTAAAATTGATGGAAACTCAGAATCAATTCCAAACCCATTTCTGGCATGATGAGAATAACATTTGTGCTGTGTTTAAAGTAGTTTAAAACAAGAAAATGATAAAATGATCAATATACTTAAAGCCAAAAATAACCAGGGGAGAACAATCTGTAATCCATTCCCAGTCCTGAAACCCTGCACTATTTATTGAACATGAAAATAAACAACTGTATCTTTTATAAGGTGGCACTGTAAGCCTTATAACATATAAACAGCAATGAAGAGATACCAAGCTTTCAACCCTTTATTTAAGCTATGTTTTTAGAATTTAGCCAGATAAAAATTCCTGGACTTAAACTATCGTACATTTATTTATTTGTACATACCATGACCATAAAAAGAACAAAAGTTAAGGAATATATAGATTGTCACAGTGAACTACGTTGCCACTTTACAGTTTATGTACTCTGTTTATTTTAAAAAGAAAAAAAGATTTTAACTACAGCAAATGAATATTTTAGGTTAGAAATTCAGTTAATTGCTCAATGTGGAACACATTTAATATTTCTTTAAAAATGCCTTGACTCTTGACTAATTTATTAAATTCAACACATACATAAATATAAACCATACATATTTTATACTTATTATTTTAATGGATTGCTTTAAAAGAGTAACTTGACACTAATAAATTTTGAACCTGTGGATTCAAGGTCAGTGAAATGTTGCTGTCCAAGTTTACAAAAATCTCTCTAGACTTAAGATTTTGCCCAATAAATTATTTTCTTACCAATTTTTCAGAGTAACTTGACTAGGTATGTATTTATTGATCAGATAAAATAAAATTATCCATCTAAATTTTTTAAATTCTAGCTGAAGAAATTAAAATGACAACAGATTGCATAGGCACACAATTTCATTGAACTGAGGTGCTGTAGGAATGATGATAATTCTAATGAGCACTGTGACAAATGCAACTACAATGAAGCATGTTTGATTACATCAGTAAAAGTGAACTCAGTGGGCAAGGTCAGAAGGGTGAGACATAGAAGCCATGACAGAGTGGGGGCTAATGGTTAAAGTTATGAAAGATATTTAAAGCCTATAGCTGGGTACAAAATTAACAGATATGGAAAAGAAGAGTCAATCAATTCTAAAAATAGACAGTACTTTTTCCTATAGGATATAATTAACTGTAGGATTTACTGTTGCAGGGATTTATAACATCATAAGCTTTGGTTGTCCAGTGTGATAGTAGTTGTAAAGAGCTGTTATGCACATCTGCTTAAAGATTTATATAAGTGTAATTGTTATAGCGACTTGTTATGCTATTGTTTGAAGTTGAAAAGCTCTGCTTTAAGTGTCGACAAAGCAAATGTCAGCATCATAGAATCATAATCACTATATCTTGGAGCTGAAGGAGTTTTAGATATCTCAATATGTGTGAACAGGCTAACCAACTCTCCAGAAAGGAATATTGGAATATCTCGTCAAGGACTATGCAGAATTTGAAAATACATATATATTACAATGGTTTATGTTTGGAAAATAAAATTTAACGAAAAGTTTAACAAAATAGAGAACATAAAGCTCTATAAAATTATCTGGACTAATGGTACTGTATATTGCATTCTCTGAACCAGATATTTTAAATATGGAAGAGCAGCAGGTTCTACATTAAAACAAGGTTTTATTTTTATGAAAAGAATTGGTGAGGGGGGGTGTCCAATAGATTAAGAAACGATATTCAGGCTTAAATTACTCATTTTCCCATTAAGAAAACTTAAACACAGTGAAGAGATCAAATGTATTAAGATGAGCAAGGCAAAACTGAGACCAGATCTCAAGTTTTTAACTCACATTTTCTTGCTTTACTCCTTTGCCAAAAGGCTGACCACTAAAACTAACGTATAAAAATAAAAAGTAGATGATATCCCACTTTGAAGAAGTGAAAGAAACCAGACTCTCAGGGTTCCTATTTCTATGCCAGTAACCTCACCTCAGATGTGGCAGAGACAAATATATGTGATGAGGATAAGGCATTCTGAGGAGTGAAAGAAAATGCACCCAGATGCATGTACTCCCTAGAGACTCTGGAATTAACATTGCTGCCCAGACCTCCATAGCCTTGTATCTCACTTTTTTCTCTCCCTCGATCCCCACCAAAAAATAAATAAGAAGAAAAGAAAACTTTTGAGAAATTGTAGTCAGAAGATCTTTTGGAAAGAAGTATTTCTTCCTAGAAATCTTTCTATACAGATTGGTATGTTTTACTGTCTCATCAAAATATGAGTTCTAATTGGACATTGATGATTCAACAGGTTTATGAACATTACAAACTGGGCTAATCCTTGTTTCCTAAGCATACACCACATTTTCTCATCCATGTTCCTTTTCCCCTAGTATTCCCAAATAGAAGCACATTCTGCCTCCTTTATTTCTGCAATACTTTGTATCTTTTAATGACCCTTGTCATATTCCATTTTATATGTTAGCCATTTATGTATTTATTTGTAATGTAAGGAGCAGGTCTACATACTTTTGGGCAATGTACTTAATTTTACTAGGTCTCACTTTCCACAACTGTAAGGAGATACATGATATCTGAGATATTGTAAGAATTTCATGAAGTGTAGTGTATGTATAAAGTGCTTAGCACAATGACTAGCACCAGGTTATCACTCATCATTGTTGTTATTGTTACTGCTATTACTTATTAATGTTCCTGTGCCTCTGGTTCTTTCCCATTTATATGCTTCTTGAGGTCTTAGATTGACCTGATTCATTATCTCCTCATGCAATGAACACAATGATTTTTACGTAACAGAAACCTAATAAAAATACATTGAATCTTTTTATAAAAGTCCATATTGGACCTATTATTTCCCTAAAAAGATCCTTAAATTCCGTCCTGGAGGTTTGAAATAGTGGTGGTCATGGCCAGTCCCTGACCCATGTACATTGTAAAATACAACAGTGTTGCGTGCTGTGGACTGTCAGAGCCACGTGATTTTTCAGGTTCCCCACAGATCCCCAACTGCTTAAGACTGCTCTTTGCAGCATCCCCAGGAGTGTCAGCTTGTATTTCTGGTTCATGTGATTAATGAGCTTGTTATACCTCTGTCTGTAGCCTAAACTAGAAACTTTCACTTTGGAGAGTGGGTCAAGATATCGAATTTAATTTTGGTTGCATCTGTTATAAGCCAATTGTGTATTCATTACATTTATAGATTCCCTCTTCAGCCATATATTTTCATGGCTGTTGAGAGCACCTGAATCTGTGTTGAATGTCCTTAGATTTTACTTTGGAGACCTGAAAATGAGACAGTGAGATCTTTTTGATAGCTAGCTGTCATCCTTGGCATTTTCTTCCCTTTAGCATCTAATCTGGTCTAAATTTGAAGAAGGGGGCAATTACAGCATTTTTATCTAGCTTGAATATGGCATGGTAATACTATATTAATGAGGTCAATGGTAAGTGCAGTTCATCTACACATTTGTTTTTCCAGACATGCAAACACATTCTGTGGAAATAGAAAATGTCTAAAAAATGGAAATGACAGAATAACTTGAGACATGTAAGGGTAGAGATATAGCATTACATGTATGGATTTAGCTGTTTAGCAGAACAACATACAAAGTAGACTCTGAGTGTGTATGGATCTTGCCAGTCCTTCAAGGTTTCAATGAATAGCAAGAAAACGAAAAGAGGTAGATCACGTGAACATGGCAGAGGGGAGACTGACAGCAGGGTGTGCTCAAGTCAGGAGGAATGTTGCATTTTAATAAGCCAGAAGTTTCATTTCTTTGAGAATGAGCTGGTATTTGTGAGGGGAACAAGGTCACATTAGTAGAACTGGTAATTCAATAAAGGTTTTGACTTTGCCAGAGTAATGGTGTTGGCATCAAGAGAAGAAAGTTTTGCAGATTTCTGTGTGTGCACTTGCTGTTACTGGTGTTCCTGGTGGGTGGCTGAATCATCCTGATGGCATTCAACAGGAACCAGCTGCCGAGAATATTAAAATGCAAGCATTTATTCCTCTAGAGAGACAGTAGCATCTGCAAAGTTTTCCTATCTTGATAGTACAGATAATCCCAGGGAGCATTCTCTAGTAGTTTTCACTCTCTATTCATTTATACATTTTCTTTTTATCATTAGCATTAGTATCTCAAGTTCTAAATGAAGAGCAGAGTGCCTGAGTTCTGAGGCCACAACAGGCTGTAGAGACAGATAGTTAACACTTGGCTAAGAACTTGGTATTGCCTCTTGAGCTTTACCTTGTATTGTTATCTCAAAGAGGGAAACTGACATTTCTCTCCCTTGGCCTGTCTTCACAGCAAAGAGTCATCCATACTCCTAGTCTTCAGCGAGCCCCATCAGTGTAAATCCTGCCCCCAGCAACCCCCACAAAACACAGCTTTGGAGCTTTTCACTTTACTTATAAAATTTGTAAATGTGTTGCTTTCCTTGTATGTTTTTTATTTGTTTGTTTGCTTTATTTTGTTTTGTTGTTGGTGTTCTTTTTTGTTTTGGTTTTGGTTTGGATTTTTTGAGCTACCATCAACAGTTAGGGGAAAGGGAGTTACATAAAGAAGATTTGGACTCAGTAATCTACCAGGTCTCTCCGTCTCTAATATTTATGAATAATGTATTGAACTGATGGAAAAAATGTTGAATATGTTCATTATGAGTTATATTCACCAGTGTGTTGCCTAGAATATAAAAGAGCAAAGCAGTTGCTGCGTAGCTGGTTCCTTACAATAAATGTAGTGGTACAACAGAGCTCTGTATCCCTTCCCATTCCACCGCGCATCGTCCCCAAACACACGCTTTACATGTCTGAGTGGCACCTGCAGACGGGGAGCCTGATGGGATGACAGCCAGCCAAGGTTCTGATGGGTACAGGGACATTCATAGTGCAGTGGGTCTTAAACAGAATCAGCATTGATGAAAGTTTTGATAGTGCAGTTTCCTTTAGGAGAAATCACCGAAGCCAGTGTCACGTAGCAAACATTACTCAAGTGCTATCCTGCTGCAGGGGTTACAGCTCCTATCAGAAGAAATGAAACTTAGAATTTTGCACCTGATTTTTAAAAAAACAGCATGAATAACTAATTTGTCGGCAATGTTACATTTTGACATAAGTGAGCCAGAGTGGCAGAAAATTCAGAACTATTTATTACATTTAGCTTCAGAATTCATTATATGCTTGTCTCTGTTGGTTCTTCTTCATAATTATGTTTTGTTTAAAATTTATTTAAATAGAATTGTATTTTCTAAGAATTTACCAGATAACATTGGGAAACAGTAACCAAAAGCATGACAAGAGGCGACAAATCTTTTTAGTCACACAAATAATCAAAAAAAGAGATAATAAAGAGTTAAAATAATAGCAAAATAGTTTTTCTCTAGCCAAAAAACAGTGAGGCCCATTATTTATCAAACATGTCACCATAAGTGATATGTAAATATATGCCAAAATAGAGAAAGACCATCTAAGGTCAGGGACTCAGAGAGGACAGCTCTAATGTAGAGAATAGTTCCAACTTAAAGCAGTTCAACAGGAAGGTGCACAGAAAGCTCTGGCTTTTGTCTGAAATCCAAGAAGAATAGCAGGTTGTTGATGAGCAGGTTCTGCCCCCAAAAAGCCCTTCCTTCCCGTGGTATCACTTCAGAGCCTTTGGACTAGCTCTTGTGAGAGAAGGGTCCAAGACATCACTCGTACCATTATCAACTTCATAGTGACATTAATTCAAGTAAACTGTCCCAGCATTATCTATCCTTTTGCCTTTCAGAAATGAGTGGGTTTTTCCCCCTCTTTGCTCTCTGTAGGAGCTGAAACCCATCAAAGCCCATGAAGAACGAGTGTGAATTTAGAGCAACCGCACTTATCAATAGTTTATAGTAATCTCAGAGAAGCAGAGAGAAGAAGCAAATAAGAGGGAATGAGAGAAACAGTGAATTTTTTCTTCAGGAAAATTACATTACCCATTATTTAGATCAAGGCTCTCAAAAACAATAAAGGATACCCAATTCCAAAGCGGTACAATGTAAGAGCAGATGTGGCAGGATTTTTTCCCCAGCACCACCCTTCCTTACAGGACAAATAGCTTAACCTATCTGTGTAATAGTGTATTTGTCAAATAAATAGAAAACCATCTATCCTCATCTACTTCACAGCAGTATTGCTAAGGCTGATTGTGCACACATATATTAATGTATATATTATAGCTATCTATTTACAGCAGGGGAGAATGATTTTAAAATAAATGAATTAGAGTTTTATGTGTGCATCTGTTGTGAAGGTCAGTCACTTTAAAAAAAAAAAAAAGTAAGACCTTCTTTGCTAATTACCATTTGTTAAAACACTTGAAAATGATGACTGAGCCTATGTCACCTCTGAAATGGAAGGCTTTTGAATTCCAAGCATGATTGTAGAGATTCAAACACATTTCCATCTACTTATGGACCCTAATGGCCTTATTCAGAGCAGTACAAACCTATTAAGCCAAATAAAACATTCACTTTGCCAATAGATATCTTTTTTAAAATCCTAAATCAAGAATATAGCAATTGGTCTAGTGTCAAAGTATAATTCTGGCTGTAGGAGTAAACTGTTCTCTATATTAGATATTTTTCTTTAATGAGACAAAGATATATAAAGAATAAGCTTCAATCTGTACAAACATCCTAAGCATCTGCCCAAGCTACTGATCTGTCCCCTCGAGAAGTAGGCTAAGTGTATCTAAAGTCCCTAAGATCATTGGAAAAGAGGCCACATTAATTTCACTTTGGACTGCTGTTATTCTTTTGATGTTGGTCTGAGCCCCTTAAAGCCCTTTCTTCATGCAGACCTCAGTGGAATGATAATGTCATGAACAGGGCAGGTGAAGATAAATAAGTGTGATTTTTTAGACATGATGTTACCCTCTAATAGCTTTTCCCCAGGCCCATTCCAAGCATCCAGGAAAGAGAGACTTTGCTTCCATGGGGAGTGAAGTCATAGCTTCAACTTAGCATAATAAGAAAAGGAGCAAGCATACTGTAAGTGAAATCAGTGAGTTTCTGCTGGGCTATGACCAGATTCTCCTGTTTCCTCTATTTTTTTCTCAAACTGAAAAGAGTTATTGTGGTAATTCACCTGCACTTCTGAACCTGTGTGCATATCCCCAAGACTTACTCAAGGTAAAGCCAGAAAGACATTAAGAGCAGACTTTCATCCAGGGGACTCCGCTTCTCTTTAGTGACTTCTGCTTGTTTGGTTGTTGTTTTTAAATAAATTTGTGTTTTTAGAAAATATGTTTCAATTCCCAGACATTGATATCCTGGGCATCCTAAGGTTGTGACAGAAGCACGGATTAGTGACTGTGACAAATGTCGCAGAAGCCAGTGCAGTTGCAATCTATCAAATATGTTGGCAGACCCCAGAATTTTCTGATCCTTGTTGCAGAATTCAGTTGTGTCCTTACCGTAGGGAGACAGGGTTAACTGAGAGTTTTGAGAGTCGTGGTACATGCTTTTCCATTTGGGTCTTGGTAGGTCTGGGACTGGAATACCTTGGTAAAAACAATAACTAGAACGAGGGCCAGCTTCATGGGTGTACAACCTGTGCAGTTGCACAAGGTCATATGTTTGGACGGACCCTATGCCTGGCTTAATGTACTGTTGCTGTCCTGAAATTCTTAACAATTTTTGAATAAAAAGCCCTACATTTTTTTATTTTGCTGTGAGCTCCACAAGTTATAGAGCTGGTCTTGCCTAGAATTTATCTTTCCCTAGCATACCAAATTGAAGGTATCGGTCATGTCTCCTCTTACTGAAAATGATCCCTTTTTCAATTCCTCAAAAGTTAATTCCTCCATTAAACTCTTTGAAGATTTCTGTCCACAAAATGTGATGTGGTTCAGAAGAACTCATCTCTCCTTCTTTCCTCCAAGCCCCTTGAGACGATTATGATTAAGGTGATCTTGTTTTTTAATCAGAAACTCTATAACTGTCTCAGCCAAGTTTTTTTTGTTTTTTTTTTGGTTTTGTTTTTTTGGCAAGAACTGAATACTTAGGAGAAATAGTTGTATCATAATGGTGAGTTGTATCATTTGTTTTGGTTACTACAAATAGTTGTATCAAAACTTTGAGTATCAAAATTTTCACCTTTATTGGATCATTAAAATAGGCTTCAGTCATTAAATTGAGATTATAAAGTGAGCACCTAACATTAAGATTATCTTAGCCTAGGTACCTCCCAATCATCATGTGATCCAACGCATCTGTGTATGCTAAAAACAAGCTGATCTCTCAGCCCTGGCCCTGCGTCTCTCAGACCCCCACCATTGCCACTGCTTACTCTGTCTTTTATGGCCTTCCCCTCATCTTCCCTTCTGAATTCACCTCAGATCAGCACTTTTATTCTTCTTACTCAACACACAACTGGCATTAGCAGGAGGCAGTTCCTCTCTTCAGTTTACATATAGCATCTATGGAGAATATTATTGTGGAGTTTTGTACATACACACTAATACCTGCCACCACATTGATGAGTATGAATTACAGACCCCAGAAATGGATAGGCCTGTCTACAGTGACAGCTTGTTATGACCAAGCATTAATTCAAAAAATGTAGGCCTCCTGACTCCTAGTCAGGTATGCTTTGGATAACTCAAGGGGTCTTCAACTTTCCTGAAAGGTAGATTCCACATAACTGGCTCCTAAACCTGTTTTCAAGCACCCATCAGTTAAAGGAGGAGGAGAAGAAAATAAATAAATATATATATATATATATATATATATATATATATATATATATGTTGTAGGAGCTGAGAAAAGAGTGCTGTGTGACAAGGAGCCTGACTGGCCACCTTAAGCTCTAGTTAGCCTCTTCAAGCCTATAAAATACTTCCTATTACTAATAATATCTTCAGGACTGTTGGATCTAGAGAGATGCTCACCTAACACAAAGCCTAACTCACTTGGAAGCTGAGGAAGGGATGGCTTCTTCTATCTCTTCCTCCTCCTTCTTCCTCATCCTTACTTTCACACATTTTTTTCTCCCTCCTCTAGGAAAGGAAGGAAAGCAGGAGGGATCTGATGGAGAGAGTCTTTGTAAGTTTAAATTATAAGACATTAAGCTACCCTCACCTCAGTCAAGTAGGCTGTAGTTTGCTGACCTCCTATTGAGCAACAGCACACCCACGGAGCAACAGAAGAGCCAAAGGCATTTTTGATAAACCATGACATCTCTCCAGGGATTATTTGTAGTGGTTTACCAGCTGCAAACAAGGCCCTGGCCAAAATCAAAGAGACTGGTTCTTTTCAGTCCTTGTTACCCACTTCATCTTCTCCTTTGCCAGCAGAGCCTAAGGTCCTTGTGTTAGTTAATCTGATTCCTTCCTTCAGCTTCCCTTTTCCAAAATTATCCCTATCCCTCCCTCCAGCTCCAGTTCAAAGCTGCTTTGCACTGAGATAACTCTCTTGGAGTTGAAGTGGTTACAGCATGGAGGCATGAATGGCCTAACGCCTTTATGGCCTGTTTGCATCTCAGAAGTGCTGGGAAACCTTTTTTAACAAGGGGACTTTTCTTCTTGCAGGCTCAGAATCTGCCATGTTCCCAGTGTAGCTATACTCACTCCAACCCTTTCTTTTCTTTTTTTTTTTTTTTTAAGAGTTGGAGTCTGACTCAGTCACCCAGCCTGGAGTATAATGCCACAGCCATGGCTCACTGCAGCTTCAAACTCCTGTCCTTGCATTATCTTTAGTCACACATGTGATGTGAACTCAGAAAAGCAAACTTTCTTCCTGGGGGAAAGAGAGGGAGGGAATATAGGTTTACATAGTGAATAAACCCCAGTGTGATAGCAAAAGGCCTCTCTTACGAAAATATGGCACAATATTACTTTTTTTTATATATGAAAATAAGTTTCTATCTTGGATAGCCAGGCCCTAACAAGTAACATTATAAGAGTACTATAAACAAATTTAAAACCCAAATGTTTTGTGGTAAGTGAGGGCTTCTACCTCCTGTGAACTCTGGACATTTTGCAAATTTGAATAATCAGTCATCTTGAGTCTCCTCTGTTTTTAGAGTATTGAGGCTCAGATAGGACACAGATTTTCTTCTAGGTCACCAAACTCAACAGCAGAGCTGAGTTTGGGGCCCTCAGGCCTCTAGGGAAATCTAGCTGTTCTGTCTGATCGTTAGGGGAACTCCTAAGATCACCTCCATGCACCCCAGCCAGCTTTTCTTTCTTCTGGTTGTTTATCTGTAACAGTTGTTGCTCCTGCAATCGTAGAAAAAAAATATTAGCACAAGAATCAAAGGGAGGCTATAGAGCATTAGAGGAATATTAGCAACTATTGAAAAGACATTTGACCTATTTCTGTAGTTATCAATTTAATAGTGTTTGTTGCCAGGAAATGCCCTGATGGCGGGGTGGGCAGTTGGATTGCACCAGCAGTCTGTTCTCAGAGGCCCTCCAGTTACAGGAGGTGGTAATTCTAGTTAATAAAAGGGTAAACTTCAAACACATTTTAACCAAATCAAATTGTAGTGGGAAATATCATATTACTGATGTTCAAGCTGACTCGCAGCTGGTAACGTTAGTCAGTATATAGCCCCCAAATTCTGACTTTTCAGCCTTTTCAGATGAGTTCCTGGCAGTGAGAGAGTTCCCCAGGCACATTGTTATGTAGGAATAGGAGATTTTTAACTAACATAGGAGCTAGCATAAATGAAGAATTTTTTTATTCTCGTTAGACTTTTTATAAGATTGTCAGATATTCAAATAATATGTAACCAAGCCAAACTTCAGGTTGATAGGAAATCTAGAGCCAGGAGTTTTAATTTTTTTTGTTGTTTTGTTTTTTTCTGTGACATGTTGGCAAATGATAAAAGCAATTCACTCTGCTAACCAGAGATGCTGGGCAGAATTCCCCCAACACTGATTTCATGCCATGAAAAGCACATGAAGTCTGGCCTGGCAAGGCATGGTGAGGAGCACAGGCTTTGTGTCCTCCTGCTCCAATTTGAATTCTAGCTTAGTCCCTGCTGGCTGTGTGACCAGAAGACATTCACCTAACTTCTCTGAATCTTAGCATTCTCATACAAAAAAATGGGCAAAATATCAACCATTCATGTTTGGTATAAAGATCAAATGATGTAATATATGTAAAGAGATCCACGCATAAAGAAAAACAGTGCCAAACATGTACCAGGTGTTCAGAAGTGACCATTGTTATCTTCTTCCCTTTTGCTGCTATTGTGTGCAAGGTTTTTCTTAAAAATTTTTTCCCAATAAAATGCACAGCTTTTAATATGATAATAAAAGGAAACACTTCTGGATACTCCACAGACTAATCTAGTCAGTCTTCTTTGAGTGAATAGCTGTTTGCCACCTCCTTTTGTCCCAGTTAAGCTTAGACTTCCCGTTATTAGCCTCTTCCTGGATCATACATCCAAAAGGATATATGGGATACATGATAAATCAAATAGATAGCCCCCAGTGACACAGCCCTAAGTTGTATGAGCAGTGGTGAGACAAGGGATCATATCAGTAGCTAGAACCCTCCATCTGTCTTCCTTACGTGTCCTACTCCACCTCACTTCGAATCAGGAGAAATGCCAGACACCTTTCTGTGGGATTGCCTCCCACCTGGATTCTTTTCTAAACTTTTTCCATTGTGCCTGAGTCTCCGTTTTCACAGAGATTAATTCTGATTTGATTCGCCTATACTTTTGATGCTCTAAAACCTTTTTATTGTGGGCAGGTTGTCTCAAATACTGTATTTGAGGATGGAAAAAGAAAACATTGCCCAAATGTAAGCACCATTGAATCAAGGAAACAGTAGTTTTTCAATTGCATTATTTGAGGATCCAGACAACCTTGAATTCCTTACAAAAGCACATCAGTAAGGCTATCCTCTCTCTTAAAAAGGCACATACACACACACACACCAACTTCAGAAGGCTGCTTTTCATAAGGTAATCGACTAGAGTGTCCAAGAGGAATACAAAATGAAAAAGATGTTTCTGTAGGAAGAACCCAGACCTAGAAGCCGAGACATTCAAATTCTATTTTCCACAGCCATGGGAACTTTCTTCTTATATGGATCCCAGCATATCTGCCTCTCCCCAACTCCACTGTTACATCTAGAGAACATGGATTCCAACTCATACTCCTTAGGGGCTATCAGGAAATTTATTTGTTGCTGTTTTGAAAGACATTTTGACCCATACCAAGAGCATTTTGCACGGGCCAAGTATTTCCCTCATTTTGGAGGATGAAGCCCTGAATTGTACTTCCCATCACTCTGGAATGGGTAAAAGACTGAATTTTCACACTGGTATGGGAAGACAATGATGTTATTATAGTGCCAACTTCTAACAGGGTGTTAATAATCATCTAAAATATCTAGAACTACTACAGACCTGTTGACCTGGTCCGTCATTCAATTGACTTCCACTTTTATCCATGCACGTTTTTGGTAAACATTAATTATGAGAAAACCCAGTGTGAGAGGTGCTGTGGACACAGTGTGCACACCGCTCCCCTCACGTCCTAGCTAACCCTCCAGTCCCCTAATGTACATCGATTGTAAGTTGACTTAAAATTTAGTACAGATCCTTTTTCTCTGTGCATTGAGTCATTTTAGTTTTCTGTGCATTGAGTCATTGTAGTATGTCTAGAAAGAGATGGTTCTATAGCTAGGAGGATTTGCTTCTTCTGAACGGCTAAAGTACCTATTTGTGTCTCCTGTGGCACTGATTACATACTGTCTTATACTAGAGCATGTTTGTATGTCTCATTCCTCCTGCCACTGCATAGTAAGCTTAATAAATATAGAGACTGTACTTACACACAGTTATATCCTTCTTAACACCTAGAATATACCATCAGAAATAAAAGCTATAGTAGTAAATGTTGTGATTTTAATGAGTGTAATTAACAATGGCATGTGAGTTTTTGGAAAGAAATTACCTTTTCTGAATTCATAAATTTCTACCCAGAGGCACAGAGCATCACTCAGTTACATCAGAAAAGCTTAAGGATTTTTCTCCAGTTATTACGTAAATGTTTTATTCTTCCCCACTCTTGACATTTGCACATAGTAGGTTTTTAATAAATTATTATTGATGTATTAATTAAAAGTATAGAATAAAGTAGAGGTGTCCCACTTCTGTCTTTTAAAATTGTAATTTTGATTCTCATTTACTTCTTTATCTTCAGACCTTGTCTAGTCCTACAACACAGATATCCTGGGATTTCATTCCAAGTGGTTACTGAATTGAGCTTAGAAGTGGTCGTGACTTTTAATCTGGTTTCTTTATCAGTCTCCTTACAGGGCAGAAGGAAAATCAATTTTTTTTCTGTCTCCTCCTCTTCCTCATAGGACTATTATATAGTTGAAAAGGACCTATATCTATGTAAAAATATTTTAATTCCTAGAATAAATATAGTATCAGATTCATAATGTCAGATTGAGGAAGCTTTGGCATCCCAGCACACCAAATAGTTTTGTACACCCTATTTCAAGCTTATCCACAGACCAGAGGGGTGAGGAGTTTATTACTCTAAGTTGTTAGGTTAGGTTCATGTGATCTGTACCAGCTACATTAACTGTGACCTCAGTCCAAATGAGGTAGCTGATTTAATATGTCCTCTACAGCAACACAAAAGCTTCACTATTACTCTCCGACCTGATTAGATGCTAAATTTCATCCACACAAAATGATCTGAAACCAGTCACCTTGGTGTTAGGTCACAGGAAGTGATAGCAAAGAATTCCAAAATAAATGCATTATTCCAGTTTTCCTTTGGTTCTTCCTCAAAGTCTGTCTCACAGCAGACTCGGAGAGCCAGTCCCTCCTCAGCTAGACATTCTGTTGAGTCATGTTTACTGTCCCCCTCAGAAAGGTTCCAAAAGCAAATGCAAGAGGTTGCCGAATGCAGGGACATGTGGCGTGCATGCTACTGAAGTGAGAGGCATAGCACACACCTGCTTTTTGGCTGTGGCAGGCCATCTTGACTGTGCCATGCCACAAGTTAGCATTTTGGATGAGCAATTGCCATTCTGTTGTTTTCTTCTCAACACATGGTGTTCAAAAACAGTTAAAAGAAAACTGTACCCATTTGCTCATCCCAGAAATCTAAAATTTCAAAGAAGCATGCCAAATTAATTTTCACATAATATTTTCCAAGCTTTTTCTTTGCACTGAGAAATGATATTTCACTTTTTGAACTCTTAGTGTCCTGGCCTGAGGTAAATGGGTACAGTTTCTCTTTAAATGGCATTAAACATATCAAAGCAGGATTATATCTGTCACCGTCTTTTTTTTTTTTTTTCTAATGGAATCAAAATCCTTCAGGGAGTGTCCCAAATCCACATTAATGTCTTTGAGTGCTAATGTTTCCACTGGGACTTTTACATTAGCAAAATAGAAGTGTGTGGTTTTCCCCCTCCTCTCTCTGCTGTCTGTATAAGAAAGAGACAACTACCCATCCGTTATTCTCCATGGCCTTCAGCTAACCCACGTCAAGGTGGTAAAAGATGACTAGAGATTTTTGGTGCTCATGTTTTCTTTTCTACCCTTTCATTCTTTTGTGCCACTTGACTGGAAAGCTACTGTGAATGCTATTTCCAACATGGACAAATCTTTGGAATCCCAGCCATGAATCTTTGGAATCCCAGCATTTGGCCTGTTAAACAGACCAAACTGCAGCAGCCATCAATGCTGTTTTTACCCTTGGTTCTTACTGTGGAAAAATTAGACAAATACCCAGAACTTTAGGATCTCACTGTAGCTATTTTTGTCATTAATATTGGGATATCAGTCATGTGTCCTTTTTATTGCTGACACTTCCCGTCTACCTTAATCCCTCTTTTTTGTTCTTTAGCAAAGCAGTTCAAATGGTATTTTGTCAACTCTTGATTATCAAGTGTCAGTGGAAGACTACAATGTCATAGACAGAAAATAATTATAAATAACAAATAACTTTAACATAATGAATAATTAACGGTCATAGTACATTTAATCTTAGAATGCACCTTTTTCATGCATTTGAAAATGCTCTGGAAAATTACACAATTTCTTGAATAATTGTTTTTATACATAATGTAGAAGGGGCTAGAAGTCTCTGTAGTGTCCGTCTCTGATCCCCATCCAGAGTTTTTCTTCTTTTGGCACCATCCTACCTACTGAGGGCTTTGGCTCTAGAGCTGATAGAGAGAACCATCCGTGGAGAGCTGGGAGGTGTCTTGCTCTTGAAGCTCACTCTTTTCATCATTTCACTTTCTGGAGCACTCTGGAGAACTATACTACTTCCTTAGACCCTCTTCCTATCCTTCCTCCTTCTTTTTCTTCTATACTTCTTCCTGCTTTTTCTGTTTTTCCTTTTCTTTTCCTATCCCTTGTGAAACTAGTCGAGGAACGTGAACTGGGGTGTGTGTTTGTGTGGATGAAGTGGCGCAGGGAGGAGGGGACTCTCCAAATGCTCCAGCTTGCCATGAGGAGAGAAACTCCATGTTTTCATTTAAACAGCTTTCCCCACATCTATACCTTCATATATGAAAGAAAAATTCACTTGTTTTCCTTTCCACACTTTACAGAAAACAAGGTAAGTAGAGGCAGTGAGAATGCCAACCCTGGAGTTAAAATGAAGCAGACTATGTGCTCACCTTTAAATATTTCTAAAGATAAAACCCTGTCTACTGGCAATTAGGCCAGGTTTTTGTGGGTGTAGTGCATGATGTTTTCCTGGCATTGAAAGGGTTCGGGGGTATTTTTGTATGTTTTTAGCATTAATTGCATGATAACTTTGCAACATCAGGAAAATGGTCTTCTAAAATTTTTAAGAAATACATGAGTCATATGAATTTTCTACATTAATATTTTATTTGGTGGATCCAATGTTAGTTTGCTCATACTCGTATATTTAAACATCAAGGTGGCAGAAAATGTGTGTTTATATTTTAATTGATTCTGCACATAACTTAGCACCATATAGTAGATATTCATTAAAAAGATTGCCAGTGGCATTTATTGTTGTTTCATCTTTGGGTTTCTCTTTTCATAGGCTTATAGGCTTTGTAGATGGACGAACTGGAATTCAAATCGGGTGCCATGAATTACTTTCTAGCTTTGTGTGTCTGGTCAAAATACACTCTTGCTATTCCTCAGTTTCTTTACCAGAAGAAATGGAAGCATAATCTCTGCTCTGGAGGATGTTTATAAGGATTAAATGAGATAATTTCTGTAAAGAAACTAGTGTAGTACTGAAATATGGTAGGCACTCACATGTTATTTTTCTCCTTTCTTTTTTTTAAGAGAAATGCTTGGGTAATATGACCACTTCTTTGGGCTTAAGCTATTACTATTAGTGATTTTTCTCCATAACCACATTGCTTGAACTAATTGTGTTCATTAGGTTTTAGCTACTCAATTTTTGTTCATCTCAAAGGAAATCATTGTGCTTTGCCATATACTAAAATACAACTGTAAGGGAAATGACTTGGAGATTAAGTACAGTCACCCCTTGATATCCAATCAGCAAGGGCTTTGTTCCAGGATTGCCCATCCCACCCTGCCCCACCCCACCCCACAGATATGGAAATCAGCAAATGCTCAAGTCCCTAATATAAAATGGGATAATATTTTCATATAACCCATGGACATCCTTCCATGTACTTTAAATCATCTCTAAATTAACTTATAATACCTAATGCAACGTAAAGTCTATGTAAATAGCTATTACACTGCAGTGTTTTTTGTTCGTGTTGTTTTTCATTGTTGTGTCATTATTTTTTATTGGAGGGTTTTTTCCCCAAATTTTCAATTTGCAGATATAGAACCCATGGATACAGAAGGCTGGGGGCCAACTATAAGAGTGTTGGATCTGAAAAAAGCATGACTTAGCAAGGTTCTCTGCCTTATTCCTGGATTCATCCCCATCCTCAACCTCAGTACCCTCTCAGAGACTGGGCAGAAGGAAAGCAGCAGAGATCTCTGTTTCTGAGCCACTGTGTTAGGACATTGAATTTAGGATAGATTCTGAAGGGAAAAAAAATCCAAATGCACAGGACAGCTGAAATCCAATCGTTAGACTGGTACCAGAAACATTCCAGATTATTTCCAGTGTCGAACTAAAATATAATGCAAGGTTTATGCCTTCTCTCAAGATTCAAAATTAATGATTGTGATTTGTATTAATCCAATCGGAATTAGTTTGACTACTTATTTAAGAGGTTGTATTGTAGACGTAAAACAACTATATTGTTAACTCTTTTGAAACAGCACAAACTATATCTAATGTTACATTTTTTGCTTTTATAATACTTGCACATAGAGTTTAGTAAATGTTCGTTCACTGAACAAATGAATCTAGTCAATGAGTTCTTGACCATGATAGTGAAAATGCTACTGCACAGGGTCCTATTTTTACTACCCAGCAATATATTTTATACATACTCATCTATATTTATAGATCTGTCTCCCTCCCTGTATCCTTTTTGTGTATCTATACATAGATATATAATTATTTAAACAAAATGCCTTGAAAGACCCAATTCCACTGGATCCCTGAGAGCCCAAAATCTATCTGTAGATTCATTACTGCTAGAATTGCCAGCCACACAATTAGCCTCTATCGCCATTGGCAAGTCCTCACTTTTCTCATTTACAAAATGACTAAAAGATCTCTAAGGTAAGAAACACTTCCCACTCCCGAATTCGATTCTTTCTCTCTCGTGAGACATCACGTATCTTTTTGAGAGGTATCCTATTGTTTGAACTTGGCACACGTTTTTTTCCCTAATGCAAGAATCACAAAAGAAATAATTTGTGATTCTACTAGGGGGCTGGGGACTTGTACTTGTTTTTAAAACTCTTCAGGGCAACCACTGGATAGGTGTCTTTTCATTTCTGTTACTTTAACACTGGGACTCAACATGGTGGGGCCAGCCAGACCTCCAGAGGAGCCTGCCTGGTTTCTGTCATTCCCCCACCTGCCCAAAAAAAAAGACTGAAATCCACCCAGTTCCCCACTTCTGAGCACCTTCAGAGCACTTCCTCTTTAGTGCAGATGAGGCCTGTCCCTCCCAGTCTAGCTCCATAGATGCTTTTCTGGTGTGCTTCATGTTAATAACATAGTCTGCTTCCGTCAGCCTTACCATTTCCGGAGTGGGGTGTTTCTTGGTAGTTTGCATTTTTTTCTTTTAATACCTGCATATTTGATGTTGTGTCTGATAGAGTCTGATTGTCCCCATTGTGAAAGTGGTTTTTATGTCATTAATATGTTGATTTGGTTCATAAAAGTGAGAGTAAACTGCCAGTGTGGTATAGTACTTTGTTGGGGGGAAGGGGACTCTCTCTTTTATTTTCTCTTCTTTTTACAGAAAGAAAAAGGCCTCAAATTGTGCCTTTTGGATTATCTTGTTCTCTTTTTACATTTGAATTTCAAAATCCCCTTTAAATGAACAAATCTCAAGGTTTCCATACGACAACTGCCTTTGGGCGTGCCCCTCCCTCACCCCCATGACATTACGGCTGTGGGCACCTCTTCCTTTCAGCTCTCTGTGAATATTCTGTGTCCTTGGCCCTCTCCCAGAGTCACATTGACATTCAGACAACAACCTCTCCCTTAGTTGGTGCTCCTTGATTGCCAAAACCAGCACTCTGCCTCTATTGCTTTACCTCTGTAACAATTACTCTGCACGTTCCTGAAGAAAAATAAAGTTTTAACATTTAATTTCTTACACAATAAATTTTGATTAACACCCAGGTATTAGATGTTGATGAGTGCTGAGGGGAAGACCCAGACGGCAGACACCAAATCTTATTTTTGGAGACTATTTACAGTATAAATGTGTAGCACTTGGTGGTGGGCAACTCTTGCGCATTTGAATAAAAGAGGAACAGAGTTGTTGCCTCATGTGTGTCAGGACCTTCTCCTCTTTGGTCTGCAATGCAGTCCTGCTTTGGCTTAATTAATCCATTAAGCTTTATCTTAACCTTAGTCAGTAATGATCGAGGGGCTCACCGGAGCCATCTAGAATGGGAGAAATTAGATGGATAATGATTTTTGTGCTGATGATGTGTTCTGTCTTTTTATATAGTTGATCCCGTGAGGGACATATTTCTTTGGTGTATTCCTGCTGATGTTCTCAAGACAGATATATTACAGAGAAATAAATCAGACTGTGAGACTTTGCTAGTGTCTAATTCTTGGTGTGTAAATTTCGTGTTTTAAAATCAAAGCTGTTTTTAAAAATACAGTTTTATCAATATAATATTAAACAATCAGGAGAGTGAGAGAAATTTGGGAAACTCTCATTTTGGTATTATTTCTTATTACGTTCAGATGTTGCTGTGGAATATTTATGTTAATAGTCTTCTGATTCCTTCCTCCTCTGTGAGTAAACTGTTTAAGATGGTTCCTCCTCTTATCCAATTCAACAGGTATTTAGTGATACCTATCATGTGCATAGCAGTTGACAGTTCTCAAAAAGCATGAGACCTAAATGGCTTTATATATCTTAAAGTAACAAAAAAGGACATTTTAGTGTTTGTTTTTCATACCAATTTGAAATCAAGACTTAAAAGTTGCAATGCAATAATCAAACTGTATTAAATACCATATTTTTGCTGCCATCAAAACAGTTTATAAACTACAATATACAATTTAAAATACAGTATTTTTTCTGAAATGTGTGGAAACGTGGATGGAGTGGTTCTTACCTTGTTTTAGAGGGTTAACAGTTGGCTGGTAATCATCTTGGAAATCTCTCTGGCATAAGTGAGGTTTAAGTTATCATTTGAATGAAGGAAAGATATTCTTCAGTGCATGAGGGATTATTCCATAGATGCAGGCTTATGGGGGAAAAGTTCAGAGGTGGAGAGGGTGTATTCTCAGTGGAAAGAAGCCGGAAGACAAAAGTGACTTTCTTTGTGGATTAAGGTGAGCCTTAGTGGCACCAGGCGCTGACAGGTTAGACAAGCAAACCTACAGGAGGCTTTCAGTGCTGGGAGTCTGGAATTCGCAATTGATCTGAAGTAGGGTAGAAATCCACTGGAGGACTAAAGAGGGGACTGTGACAGTCAAGCCATTGAGAATATGTTTGGAGTGAGGAGGCAGTTTTCATATCCTAGGTACAATGTGATTAGGAGCTGGCCAAGAATATTAGTAAAAAAAAAAGATGTATTTGAGTTAATGTCATCATGAGAAAATTTCTAGATTTGATAAGTGGCTCTATATGAGAATCAATATATTAAAATGTGAATGCTTAGCAGAAGATTGGGCCATTGGATGTGTTGGACTGTGGTTATATAGAATTTGTATAGCAGAATGATTTAAAAGGAAAGAGGGAATGCTTTTTATTATAGGGATTTTAAGGAGCTAGCAGCCATCTAATTAGAGATATTCTGAAAAGAAAGTGTTATCTAAGTTAACTAGCTTAGTTATCCCTAACTAACAGAGGTAGGTTATGAGAAAAGATGGATAAGTGCATCAGCCCCTCAGATGCATGAGTATAATTAGAAAAAACTGTGGCCTTAAGATGATTCTTTGAGGGACAGCATATTGAGGAGTAACAAAAGGATATATTGAGGAAATAAATGAAAGGAGAACACTGACCCAAGATTATAAATTACAGAAGCCAAAGACAGAGAAAGAAATCTTTTTGAGCTTTTTAGGGTCAAAAAAGCAAAAAACAAAAAAGGGCTAGAAAGAACTGCAGGATTGTCTCAGCAAAGATCCAAATTTTGTGTACTGGGAAAAGGAGATCTAGAAGACAGATGTGGTCCAAGGAAGAAGAGCCAACGTGTAAAAGAAATAGGACTTCCAGTGCCCCTTCACCTCTGCTGTGCTGCCTCAGTGGGGGACTCGTCCAATCAACTCTTGCAAATGTCATAAGTTAAGCAAAGAACAGCTAAATTTGTAGAGGGCCATGCTGACACAAACTGGCTTGTGTAATTCCATTGCCAAGAGTAAGGAAGAAGGTGATATTAAAATCTCTGTCTCTGCTTCAGCTGTGGACAGAGTGGTCAACTGAAGAATTAAAAGGTTTTGCGAATTTCAGAGCAACACCCTATTGGCTGCTAAATATCAGAATCACATACATAAGAGGGCATTCAGATATACAGCTACGCAATTATGTGATGGTTTCCGACTTGGTCCTTAATATGCAGGGAAAATTCTAGGGGTGTCTGCCAAATTAAAATAATTAAAATTAGACTTAATCGCTTAAAAAAAAGACAGAAACTGAAGAATCCTTCACTCTGTCCTAAAATGAAAGGTTGGTTTGCTTTGCATCTTGACCAGCTTTATTCAGAATGACAGTAAAAGGAGTTGGTCAATGCCATGGTCCAGAAGATGTGCCATGCTTTGCTTACTAGATATTTTTTAATTGGCTTCTTTTCTTTAGGAAGACCTCCTAAATTTGACCTAAGTAAAGACCATAAACTTGAGCCCATGCTAACTACAACTGTAAGATCGTTCAGGGGATGGGGGCTCTGTGCAGTTGTGACATGTTGAACGGGGCTCCCCTGCATAATGTGATCCCTGTCTTTAGGAATAGCGCTTTGCTCCCATGTTAATACATTCTGGAAATTACTCAAGAGGCAGCTTTGGCATTAGAATAGCAACTTTCAAAGCAGTGAACGTCAGCACTTCTATTTCTCCTTCTTTTTGGCGTGCATTACATGAAGCTGGAAGGACTAATTGGCTAAATGAAGGGACTCAGTGTCGCAGAGTTGAAATCCTGGCATGTAAATGGAGAGGTGGGGAGAAACTTTGCATGCATATCTATATGGCCTCCCTTTGTGAATTATCATAATAGAAATGGTTCTGCCCCTTCTCTAGTTTCCCTGCGAGATGAGTTGGGGTGTGAAGTGCATGGCACAGAAATTCACCATGCTTTGTATCTATGATTACTTGTCTCTGCGTGCATCTTTTCCACTCCTAAATTGCATGTTTACCCAAAGTTGCTGAATAATACATTGTTTCAAAAGATGTGCCCCTGAATTAAGGTTGTTATATGACAATTATAATATGACCGTGTACAGCTAACTACTGTAAAGAAAAAAAACAGTAAGTGGCATTTTCAAAAGCAAACAGGGAAATCACTCATTTGTTTTATAGGTGTTAGATTTACTTCCTTGACCTCTGCCAAGCATTGATACAGACGAATCAATAATGGGATCAAACTGTTCACATGAGATTGGTTCCCTATGACAGTAGTCAACTTGGCCTGTTGGATGTCTCAGTCATTGTATCATACATATACTTTTTGTGAAAGACTATTTCAAGATAAGCTCTATAGTTTATTTTTAACTTTTATGAAATTCCAAAGCCTAGAACGCTTCTGCTTCACCTGTCCTGCCTTCTAGTAGCATGTTAACTAAATTGTCATAGACAAATGGGGATCAAATGTATTTCACAAAATTTACAGTGGGACATCAGAGTATTTCATGTGAGGATTTAACATCTCCTGAAGTATGTAAGAATTTTATAACTAAACTCAATGCCTCATACTTCTCAAGCCCCCTTTTAAAATGTTTAATCTGAGTCACATATAAGGAAGATTTATTAACACATCATCTTACTGATGAACCATTATCAAATTATCTCTTAATATTTTGGGCAAACAAGGAAGGAAGCTTCTTTGCCCTTTGCTCTGAACCTTTGCTAAGCTTTTCTCATTTCCATTAAGTATAGAACTTTGGATTCCAAGGTTAATATAAGACAGGATGAATATAAGTCATCCATTTCTTTGTTAACTTTTGTAAGCATTTATTTGTAAAGCACATTTTATGCTTAGTTAAGTCTATGAGAGCTGAGCCTGACACACCAGAGTGACGTTCTGTAGTATAAACACCTTACAGACTAGTAATTGTTGAACTCTTGATCAGTGAGAAAATCACTTGAGCTCACTAGACATCATTGTACAAAATTTTGTGGTTAAAGAGTGTTCCATGGAAGCTTGACTCTGAAAGAGATCCTTAGTGGCTCAACTGAAAGCTCAGTAAATTTTAGACTTGGTTAAACCAATTTTGAGAATGCCAGATTTAATTTAAAGGCTAAATATTAAAATGTTGCCCTTTGAATATGGGAGAAAAGGGCTTGCCTGGAGAAGAACATGGGTAGAGGTAGGCCCTCACAGCCAAATGATGGAAAATGCCCTTTCCCTGTTGCCTTCTACCCAGGAGGGGTGAGGTACACTTTGACTATTTTGCCAATCATTGGTCATGCTGCTGTAAAGGTAAAGGTGACTGACCCAAAATATATATAACACTTTTTTTTTTCAGTAGCTTATGATATTTCATTCATGTCATCAATCAGTAAATAAGAACGCACAGGTGTCATTCTCTTCAAATGAGAAACGGAAAAACTGAGGCTCTGTAAGATTCAGTACCTTGCTGAGTGTTACCTAAATAATCAGTGGTCACATCAAAACCAGAACTCAGTTTGATGTCTAGAAGCTACAGAATGTTATTTTCAGGACCAAGTGGAACAAGTTATGTTCAGTTTGATTTTAGTGCATTTCAGAATCTGGACAACATCTTACAAAATGTCTGATTGTATCCTATTTTTTCTGTAGATCTCTAGAAAGGGAATTACAATTGCGGGTGAAGGGTAAATTTATTTTCTGACGATGGTATGCCTTTGTTCTTACCATCTCATCAGCTGATTTGAGGGAAAATTCATATTCCATGTCAAATTAATGTAAGGTGGGTAATGTCCAGTTGCAATATAGTCTTAAAACATACTTTCTTGCTGTGTGTTCATAAAGTCCAAGTTCACAACCACAAGGTTAGTAGATCTTTGACACCAGAGAAGTGGCAGCAACAACTCCAAAGGGGCCTCTGTCCTTTGTTTTCTAAGAGCAGCTTCTAGGTGAGCTTTGAATCCCATTGTGAGAATGCCAGGAGTGTGGAACAAAATAGGAAAGCCACAGCCTGAGCAGACGATGTAGTGGTCTAAGTAAAATGTAGTTGGTCTTTCATTTCTCTTCATTGTTACCCTCTATCATGCCTGAGTTAGACAGAAGAACTGATTTAAATAGTGTAACAATTCCTCTAAACTTCATCTACTTGTATGTTCAACAGGGCTGGAGGGAGGCTACAAAAGAAAGTCATGGAACAGAGCAATACTTGTGCTTGGTTCATGCCTTGTAGCAGATTAGTCTTTGGGGCCATTCCATGGGAGACTGCACTTAGATACAACCAGAAACAAAGTGAGGTGGAAGGAGAGGGAGAGACGGGGTGATGTCAACCAGATGAGGGACATTGGAGGAGAGGGAATATTTTCCCTGAAAGGCTCACCACCCACAGAGAGTTAAAAAAAAAAAAAAATCTGTAGTCTTAAAATAACTTTAATGTCTTATTTTTTCCTTCACCAGGAAATTAACATTC